TATTATTCATAAAATAAAATTTATTTATAGATCGAAAGATAGACGAATTTCAAGTTCTCAGTGATTCCGAGGATGCTGAAGTTGACAAAGTCGATCTTTTTTTTTTTTTTTTTTACAAATCCCCATCTTTCGCATACCTGCAACCGACATACTGTATGTTGCGACTTTGCTCGTGCTTTCCAAAAGTAGATAGTATTATGAACATGAATCTCTGAAGCAAGAAGCTTTACATCAGAAGATAGAGAAATTTCTTCTCTATCCAGCTGACTAACTTTCGAATGTCCAAACTCTTCTGAGGAATTAGAAGCATTCTTCATAGTGATTTTTAAGTTAAAGTTCAATTACAAAGTCTCTAGTTTTTGCACCGAAAGATGTTTGTTCATTTGTAACGTACAGACTTTTGTAGAGTTTAACATTCTCTATGTTTTTTGGTGTATAAATGAGTATTTTATTTTTATGAATAGTAAATGAGAGAAAAATTGCATTTATATTTAGTGCAATTCATTATGATCTACCGATTATTTTACCTTGAGTAGTCGTTTGTGTTGGATCAACAGATTCCCATTTTGTTGGAACAAAACCAGGTTTTGCTGTTGATGATGAAGAAGGGATTTCTTCGATTTCTTCTTGAAAACGTGGTCGAGCTAAATGAAAAGTAAAAGAATTTTCAAAGGACAAAAAAAAAATAATAATAAAAAATTTTACATTCACGAATAGTATTTAATGGTCGACCATCGATATCATCATCGATTGATGAACTTTGAATTGACATTGGTTTTCCATCAATATCTTCTTCATCATCATAATCAGCGACAAGTGCTAACGGTCGATTATCGGATGATTCAAGATTAATTGGTTTACCATCAATATCATCATCAAATGTTGGTTTTTTCATTTCATTTTCCTTTAGATTTTTTTTTATTTATTAAGAAAGAATTTTAAAAAAAAATTTTGTTTTCCTTACTGTTGTTGTTTTTGATCGTACAAGACCAAGAAATATATTTTGAAGTTTTATAAGAAAATCACTTGGATATATTGCCCAAGATTCCCAAGCACGAAAACTACTCATAACTTTTTGCTACAAAAATTATTAAAAATAATACATTAAAAAAGAAACTTTTTCATTGATTTTTAAATACTTTAAATTGTTCAGCACGAAGACGTCCATCAATAGCTGACCAAGCTTGATGAATATGTTGAAATATATCTGGTAAACGTACTTCAAATCTAAATTAAATTTAAAATTGAATAATAGTCTTCTTTATTTTTATTTTCCTTCTTTTTCTTTTTTTTTACCCTCGTCGATAATGTGATGCATTTGTTACTTTAACACTACAATTATGAAGAATATCTGATATTAAATAAAGTCGAGAAATCTAAAATAAATAAAAACATTTTATTAATAAAGAATATTTTAATTTTATTATATTATTCACTTTTTTATGTGTTGGTGTTTGAAGAATTGAAAGTGATTCTGTTATACAATCAATTATTTCATCAGCTGCTTCAGCATGATCAATAGCCCAAATCATAGCATCACCAATTTTTATTCGTTCAGGTGTTAATTGTCGTAAAAGATCTTCAAAATGATCTCTTTGTCTATATATATATATATAAATAATAATAAAAGAAAACAGAAAAATATCCGTATTTTACCGATGACTAAGTCGACCTCGTTTATTGCTAGTATTACTCTGATTAATCACTGGTACATTGACTTCTGCTTTAATATTTGTTTCACTTTCTGTTTCTCTTTTAACTTTTTCAAATACTTCATCGGGCATACCAGATGTAAATTGTTGAGGTTGTGGTGGTAACCATAAACTACCCATTTTAAATAAACGAAATGCTTCTGTTCGCCAACTTGTTACACTATCGCCCTAATTAATAACAACAAAAAAATAAAACGTAATATTTTTAATTTTCTATAAAAAATATAATTTTACTTGGAGAATTGAATAAAGTTTCCATCGATAATATGTATGAGCAGGACTTTGGTTATCAAATAAAAATCTATAGAAAATAAAAAGAAAATTTGAATTTGTTTAACCATCATATCACTACCTATGAAATAATAGCCTGGTCTCAAATGTAATCCGTACGGATTCTAGTTTAAATTACTGTCTAGATATATAGTAACTGTAGAACGATTTACTAATGAGGGAGTCTCTTCTAATGTTAAATTGCTTTTCGATCGAGACGATGTTCATTTGATGAGTACTTGTGAGTAATAGAAAAGTCTAGAATGGTTTGGATTTCCGAGGCTTTGTTCTTGAGATATCGGAATTTTACTGGATTTTTTAATAAAAAGTTGTGATCTATCTTAGGCCACGTAGAATTTCAACTTGAAACTTTGCACGAACACAGTTCTCAATGAGATTAGTTCATTGGACAAGTTGTAATTTTTCTAGTATCTTCTATTGTGAGATACTCAATATTTGAAATTCTCTCATGTGTATAAAAGTAAATTTTGTTCATATTTTTACATCTCCGAAAAGAAAATAGTAGAAAAGCTAAAAGTTGGACTACAGTGTTTTGTTGAGAAGTTCAGTAAAATTTTGATATATCAAAAACGAAGGTTCAGAAAACCAAACTATTCTAGATTTTTCTATTACTCATGAAATAAAAATTATCTCGGTTGAAAAGCGATTTCACACTTGCAGAGGTTCTCTCGTCCGCATTGTTTACTAATTTGTTCTTTTCATTATCTTATTGTTCTTTTCTCATATGCTTAAAATGTTTCTCAGCATGAGTCACGAATAGTTTTGACATAATAATCAGCACAATGTGTGACAACTTTTCTATCGTGTTCGAATTGAAATGCTAACGCAGAAACGAAAATCGTGAGATGAGTTTCATATTCTACAGTTCAGATGGATTTTACATATACTTTGAACTACTATATCATCTATATATTCTACTAACCTTCCTTACGACATATCTAAAAGAACTAAGTTCGATCTAATACTATGTACATATAACGAAAAAATAAAACTGTCTGGGGTCCGTGTGAACGCCAGATGATGATATTAGAATTAATAAGTTATTATTACCGGAATTGTGGATTATTCATTTCACGACGCATTATCATTGCTTCAAAAAGAGGACCTTCACGGATAACAAATTCAATCATTCGGTGAATTAAACATAATAAAGCTCTTCAAAACAAAAAAAAAAAAAACAAACAAATAATAATTAAAATTAAATAAATATTAATTCATACAAACCTATCATGAGGAATAATCACTCGAATAGTAGCATGTTCAAGAAGCTAAAATAAATGAATTCTTTGTTTTATTATTTTTTATATGTAAATAAAATTTACTTTTGAAAGTTCATTTTCTCGACTAAGTATATCTTGTAATTTTGACGAACGATATTTTGTATTTGGTTGAGCATTAAATGGTAAACCAGATGGTGGTGGTGGCATAATTAATTCTCTCATCGTTGGTGGAATATAGACCGGTTGTGGTGGAATATGAACGGCTATAAAAAAAAATGAATAAATGATTTCTTTCTTTTTTTTAAATTTTTATTTAAATTTATTTACGTCGTCCCCAACTCATTCGAACGGATATTGAATCCAATTGTGTACCATTTAATTCATGCATAGCTCTTTCAGCATCTTTTCGACTCATATAAGCAACAAAACCACAATTAGTTCCACGAGATTTTTCTTCGTCACTTCTTGGATACATTATTTTAACACTTGCTAATGGTCCATAACGACCAAATAATTCCATTATACTCGTCTCATTCATCTAAATAATTTCAAATATGTATTAAAAAAAAAGAATTTCATTCTTTTACCGAACGTGGAATTGTATTTATAAATAAATTTGTTGTATTTGGATCATCACTTGAATGACGACTTTCATGATGAAGTGAATCCGAATCGACTAACGAAAAAAAATGAGATGAACATTTAATAAAAAAAAAAAAGAACAGTTTTTTGTTTTAAATTTACGAGCAAGATCAGAATGTAAAGAAGTCGATGGTGGTGCTTGAAATCTTGTTGATTTTCCTTCTTTTTCTCGTTGTTTTTGCATATGACGACGATCACGTTCTTCTTGAATTCTTAAATAAATTAAAAATTATAAGAAAATTTTTCTTTTCTTTTTTGTTTTTATTTTACCTTTTAAGTTCTTCTTTAAATGATTCTAAATTTGATTTACGTTTTTCACGTTCAGTTTTTAATTTCTAAATTTAATCAAATTTAATATTTCTTAAATTTAAATAAATAAATATATATAGAATTTACTGGTTTATTTTCACTTGCTGCTGATACAGCAGCTGCAGCAGCCAATGCTGCTGCATTACTTTTTGCTATTTGTTGTTGTAAATTATCTTTATTATGTATTGAATCATCTTTTCTATTAGATGTTGTTGATGCTCGATATGTTTTTCCTCGATCACTTGGAGTTTCTTCATGTGAACCCGGATTAAAAACTCCACCTTTAATAAATGTTTTATTTATTTTATTTTTTGGTTCTTCAAAAGCAGCAACAAATTCTTTTAATGCTTCTTCTGTTTCACTCGCTTCAATTTTAGCACGAAGATCTTCACGTTCTTTACGTGATAAATTTGTTCGAGTATTAATAGTAATAGTTCCTTGTTCAAATGCACGTAATTTATTTTCACCTAAGGCCTATTATGAAGAATAAGAAAAGAAAAAAAGAGAAATAAATGAAAAATATTTTTGAAAGTATAGATGAAGTTTTTTGTTTTAAATCTACCTTCATAGAATTTGGTGCAAGTTCATCCTGAGTTGTACTAAGCATTGAACGTGCACGCGAATCCATTTGTTGACTTTCCTCAAAAGGAGGGCGACGACGACAAGTTATTTGTTTTTGTATATGATATTATTTGATTTGTAGAAAAGAATAGCCAATGATAAGATTGTGATTAATGTCATAGAGAGTCGCGTTCTCTGATTTGATAATTTGTGGTAGAATTTCTTTTCTTTTTTTTACCTTCAACTATTAATTGATAAAAAAAAAATGTGGAGTTCAACAATCTATATTTTACTTTTTTTATCAATTTTTGTGGATAAAAGTAAAGAACGATTGTTTTTTTTTGTTTTTAATAATTTGAAAAAAAAATAATGAAATTTATTTTGCTTTTAAGTTCAACCTGAAGTTCCACAATTATTTGATTATTTAAATGGATTTTATTTGGATTGTTATGAATGTCATAGTAATCGACCTGGTTGTGGTGAAAAACTCGATTGGATATTAATGCGTTGGAAACGTTGTATTGCACCAGGTGGAAGTAAATGTGTTAAAATAATCGAACGTTCACCCGATGGTAAATAATCAATTCTTTCATGATTACAAAAAAAAAAGAAAAGAAAGACACATGTTTGTTTGTTTGTTTTTTGTTTTGATTTTTTTCAGGTGAAATTAATTATATACGTGGTTGTATTAATCAAATTGAAGCTCTTCGACCTGAAATGCCAACTGTAAGAGAAAATGGATGTTGGGCAGCAAGTGATAAATATATTGTATGTGCTCTTTTGAATTTATTTATTTTAGAACAAAAAAAATAATCTTTTATTTTTGTTTTAGGGTCTAGCTTATCGACCTTGGTATGTTCAAACAGATGAACCCGTCTATTGTTTTTGTGATGAACGTGATGGATGTAATACAGCTGTACGATCTTTGATAAATTATATATTCGTTTTATTCTTATGTTTTATATCATTCTTTGCACATTCCATTGTTTAGAATTATATGTTTTTTTTTTGTATTTGTAAATTTTTTTTATTTCGCTTATTTGCTCATTATTATTATACATTCCATTTTTTACCTTGCCGATCGATCTGAGTTTGTCTTTTTTTTTAATCGATTAATCGATCGATTATGTTTTGTACAATATGTTAAGAGGATATATGTGTATCAATTCTTATTATAGATAGGTAATATTTCTCTTTTTTTTATGAAATTGAATAAAAATATTTGACTTAATGCATTGAAAGAAAAAATGTTTTAAAAAGTTTACGCCAACGTGAAGAACAATGACAGGAATGGTTATTACTCAACCAATGTGTAATAACGTTTTTACAGCAAGTTCGTTTTGTATATAAGGAGAGTAGCTTTGTAGGTTCATTACTATTGCGTATAAATAAGGATCGCATTGAATATAGATAAAGAAAATTTATTTTATTGATCGGTAAGACTATAAAGAAAATGACATATTATTCACATAAGAAATGAAAAGAATCTTTATATCTAGAAATTATGACTAATGCATCTTCGTCTACAACAATCGATGTAGTTACATCAGATATGCCAACGGAACTAGATTTAGCTTTTATTATTGATGCTACATCTAGTATGGGATCGTACATTAGCTCCGCTAAAGAGGTATGCATACTTATTTATGGAAAATATCAAAAAGATTTATAAACAAAAAAGCTATTTTGTAGAATATGCGAAAAATTATTCAAGATATTATTATAAGCGAACGATGTTTATTGAATGTTGCCTTGATTCTTTATCGTGATCATCCTCCTCAAGATCATACATTTGTTATCAAAGTTAATGATTTCACCGATGATGCAGAAAAAGTGAAAAAGCATATTGATGCAGCCGTTGCTCAAGGAGGTTTGATAGTTTACTTTTCATTTGAAATTTCTTATATATTTATATCTAGGTGGAGACTTTCCTGAAGCCATAGCACCTGCATTACATGCAGCTGTTCATACTTTATCATGGCGAAAAAATGCAGTTAAAATTGCTCTTCTTATTGCTGATGCACCTCCTCATGGTTTAGGGATCATTGGTGATAGTTGGCCAAATGGTAGGAAATGTATCATCTAGTTTTTTTTCAAAAATTATTTTATTATTTTTGTTTAGGTGATCCATCAGGACATGATCCAGTTGAATGTGCTGCTTTACTTGCTGAACGTAGTGTAACTTTATATACAATCGGTTGTGAACCAACAGCTACACCTTATCGTGATTTTTTCATGGCACTTTCTTTCAAAACCGGTGGTCAATACATACCATTGGCTAATTGTAGCAATTTAGCGTCAGTCATTGTTGGTTCAGCAAAAGAAGAAATTTCCTTAGAACGATTAATAGCACAAGTACATGAAGAAGTTATGCGTGAAGCTGCATTACGTGGTGGTCCAGTAGATGAAACTGAACTTACTCGTCGTATACATGAAGTGATGCAGGATGGCGGTATGTCGACATAGATATGCTTTCTCAAACGGTGAAATCATATTTTTATCATTATTTACAGGTGCTAAAGCACGTCGATTGAAAATGAATAATCAGGATGGAACAACAAGTATTCCAGCATTAACACCTGCTGCTGAATATCTTTCAACACTCAGAACATTAAAGGAAGTTCGAGAAAAGTGGGCGGATAACACCAAAACCATTGCTACTCCTATCACTTCAATATTTGGAGGATTATTTGGTTGCGGTACAACAGTTGCAACAGTTCCTTCTGCGCCAATTATCAAAAAAAGAAGTACACGTACACGTACACCTGTCATGTAAGACATAGAGTTTCACTATGAAATTTTTCATAATTTATGCTTTGATTGTAGTAAGAAAACATCAGTAAAACGAAAAGCAACGCCTGAAGTAAAACCTATCATAAAGAAGAAACCTCGACGAGAATTAGCTCGTGGTAGTCGACGAAGTGCTCGACTTGCATGCAATAAAGAACAAGATGAGGAAGAAACAACTGATGATGAGGTAATAGACGTAAGTTGAGAGATTTAATACATTTTTTTTATATACTACGAAACAAATATTTATTATAGACAACAAGTTCTTCAGCACCATCTACAGTCACATCAATGAAAATAAAAACTGAAATATCAAATATAAACTTAAAAGATGATGAATTACTTGATATTAGTCAAACTCGAAGACTCGTTCGTAAATGTGTTGCTCGTAATAAACTCGAATCAACTTAATGCAATAGTTTTTGTACAATATACTAGATGTTCTGTCATATTTATCTTGTATTTTTTAAATAAAATAAAAAGTGTAATCTTTCTAATATATGTACTTGAGATTGATATCATGCGAAACAACCTTCTTCGTATCCCAACTTTCATTTTTCCTCTTGATCGAGCGATATATAAGACATTCATTTTGTCGAAGATGTCGTCTCTTGCATAAACAACGAAACATTTCGATTCTAGTGTAGGCTCAACATTTTTTATAAGATCCTCATCTGGAATTTAAAAATGAGAGAAAGCAAGTTTTTGAATGCCATTTAAATGAAATACAGTTAGTGCCTCTTTTATCACACTCATATTTTGCAATGTGTAACAGTAATACAGATTAGAAAAAATATTCACAACATGCCTAAAACAACATGTGAACATTGTTGTTAATTGAAATGCGATCTTCGAAAGAAGAGACTTTGATCTGCTGTACTGAAAAAAGTTTAATAATGAAGTAGAAATGTTTCATTTAAAAAAAAAGATATTGGACTGTGAGCTTCTTCATTGTTGAAAATGTTTAATTAGCATGTAATCTTAGTCACCTATCAACAAAGTGTTCGCAGACTCTAGTTAATTTGACTTAGACTTTTCATACAGTTCTTCTTCACTTGTAATGAAAGATCCTCATTTCAAGTCATTGTCGATATATGATTCAATATTTATTTGTACAAAACCCAATGTTTCTTCAACAACATTTTCTAAGTCTGCTTGATCAAGGATATGTTATTATTAGCTGCCGAAGACGGCGAAAAATATTGACATTTGTACAACAAATGGGATGCGCTGCTCATATTTATCAATCTGATGGAAGGAGAAAGTGTTTTAATCTATCTAAGCCTTGTAGCTCCGTCATCTATGGCTTCTTGTAACCCCAATAGAAAAGACGTGCGCAAAAGTCATAAGCTCAAATGTGGTAAAAGGGAAGAATTCTATTGTATGGGATATGAGCGGTGTTGATTTTAGTTAAAATAAAAAATTGATTATTCGAAATCATATCTATTTTGCTATTGTCATCAGTAATAGACAAAAATAAATAAAAAGTACAGGGAGTGCTTGAACATTTCTTTGATATCTGGTCATAAATACAGGATCTGTCTCCAAAGCAAGAGTTAATTTAAGAACAACGAGAATTATTAATATATTCAGATCAAAACTACAAAATGAGAATGTCAATATGTCATTTTGATGATATAGTTTTGACTACAAAGTGGTGTACGACGTTCTTTTGAACATCTTATAAAGTCTTCATTTGCCGTTTAATTATGTGATCATTTGATGATTATATTTAACCATGACAATCATCTCGACATCTACTATATCATCAGCAATCATATTTTTCTCTTCTACAATAGGGTATAGCTTGTACCTCGTCACGAAAATAGAGAGTATTATTTTGAACAGAACAAAATCGAGCATCCATAATACTTGCTGATATTAGAAAGATGAGCACAATAGCTATAAATATACGGATAAAGGTTGATTTGTATTTTTGTGAGTGAATCATTCAGCAGAAGAGTAACCAGAGCTTATTTATGACAATTATGATGTCCATATTATCTTATTCTGGATAGTTACTTCTCCTCTGAATGGCTTTACACTAATTTGCTAAACAAGAATTCGTTGAAGTACGTAGTCCATTGATTTTTTCACACATAATACCATCTAGCATCTTTAACTACACAACTTATGTTATATTTATATAATCAATCATTCTATGTCTTGCTTCTCTTCTGACAAATGGTAACAGCATTATTGAAGGACGATTGTCAAGCATAAATATGCAATGTAATAAATATGACTAAAGAAAATTATGGCACTTTGAAGCAGAATTTAAAAGGTCATAACCATACAAAATATGTTGAAGTTACTTGTGGTAAAATTTTCAATACGGGAACAAAAAAAATATGAAATTCCGAAAATCTTAAAAGAATGACTAACACACGAAACTACTCTCTCATATAAAATATGGAGCATTTACGATTCATCTATTCACTTTGAATACTATGTCAGTTATTATCCATGCCAAAATATAATGTGCTCCATTGTTTTTTGAAAAACTTTTGATAGGAATATCCTAGAGATCTGCAGTTTTCACCATTCAAGAGAGAAGATCAAAGATCATTGAAGTATTTTGAAATCGGTATTCTAAAGCTATTTTCCTTTCGATTTAAAATTCTAATGAAACTGATCGGTAGAAAAAATTCTTCTCTTTTGGTCGACACTAAATCAACACTTCTAGCTTGTTCTATTCGACAGCTATAAGACTTTTTCTGAAACCACCGATTTCAGCTAATTGACCTGTGATCACCTGCAAAAGCAGCTAGACAGAGATAATTCACTATGCTGAGTTAAATATTGATGTTCGTAATTACCTGACTATGTTATTTAGATTGTTTCGAACCTAAAAACAAATATCACCACTCGACTCCGCATGATGGAAATTGAGCGTCTCGGAACAAGCTAGGAATTTCGGTCTTGCATAGATTGAAAAAGAAGAATTTTTTTCATCGACTTATTCTATTAAAAGTTTAAACCAAAAGAGAAATAAGTTACCGAACAATATATTGAAATTTTAACAACCTAAGAGATTGGAATATACAACTGTGGCAACTGCGTGATATGAAGACATTTAGTGTTCGACGGATTTATTTGATACAAGAATATTAACTATAGACAATATAGTGATCGAAGAACTTCAGCTCCTAAGATTCGATTCAGCTTGCTTTTTAAAATTATTGCTCCTGTTTGAATCTCTCGTGTGAAGCAAAAGCTATTTTTCACTACAATCAGATATTATAAGCTACCATCTGGTGCACCTACTACAAAAACCTTCATCACTATAATATTTTATAATTTATTTTTTAATAAAATTCTTTGATTCCGTCCAATCATATATAAATATTTATGATCATCATACCACTATTATATTAAATTTAAAAATACAATTTGTTTTCTTTTTTTTCTCTAGTTGATTTATTCTTTAATGATACTTTTTCATATATAAGACAAGAAAAAAGAAAGTGAGAAGTCAAAAAAACAAAATAAAAGGAAAAAAAACCATTACTTTTTCTCTTTATTGGTGTGTTATATTAGGTTTTTTCCTCTTGTAAAGTTTGAAAGACTGTCGCACAAAAGAAAAGGCAACAATAAACACACATTAGAAAAAAAAAGAAAATCCTTGCAATGTATACACACATGACAACAAAAATATGTAGAAGAATATGTTCACAGTTCAAACAAAAAAAAAACGAACAAGTAGACAAACAATGGAAAAAAAACGAACAACAATAATAATGCAACTCGTGCGTATCTGGCATCTAAACGACGCTAGATAAAGGCTATCTGAAAATGAAGAAAATGTGTACGCAAGATCCGGAAAAAGGAAGAAAAAAAAAGTTTCTATTCAACTTGTCTGTTCACCTCGACAAATAGGACACCGAGTTGATGTCTAAAAAACAAAAAAGAAAACTGTGTTGTCAAAAAAATTAACAAAAATATTACCTTAAGCCATGGATCAATGCATTCACTATGAAAGAAGTGTTTGCATCGTAGACGTTTGAGTTTTTCACCACCTATATATTCACTCAAACATACAGCACATTTATCATCATCTTCAATATTTGTACAAGATTTTGTAAAAATCATTGTTGGTAATCGTTCAAGTTCACTATCAGTTAAACCGACTACAGGTGTTTCATCAGGCATGGTTAGATCGAAGAAATCCTATATTAAAAAAAAAAATGAATTCATCATATAAGATATAGACCTATGAAAACATACACCAAATTGTATACTAAATGCAGCTGGTAATGAAAAAATATCATGACCAGGAGACATCCATGCATAAGCAATTAAATCAATTGATGCCGATGGTGGATGATGATGATGATGATGATAATGAACATGATTATCACTGTATGATGCAGCATGTGCATCAATAACACGACTAAAATATTAAAAAAATATTTATTTTAATATTAAAAAGATATATAGATTATTTACTGAAGTAAATCAGTAAGAAAAGAAGTCGAAGGTCGTTGATGTAAATGAGCAGTCATTGATGTTCGATGAAAAAGAGGAGCACGTTGTGGTACTGGTTCAATTGTAATTCCACTTCGTTGATGATGATGATGATTTTGTTGTTGTGCATAAGAAGAACGAGGAGGTGGTGGAGGAGGAGGAGGAATCGGTTGACGATGAGGTAAAGCAACAGGTGGTGATTCAAGTAACAATGATCGATGATTAGAAGAATGGTAAATATTACGAGGTTGTGTTGATAATGGTGGTTGTACAGTATGATGATGTGATCCATAATGGACATTTGTATTATTGATTTCTTGTGAATGTTCATTTCGATTTCGTTGTATTGCTTGTGTACGTTGATCAAATGATCGAGAAAGAGTAGGTACATTATCATTATATAATGTACGAGGTAAAGGAGTTGGTTGTGGTTGTACATGTCGATGATTTCTATATAATCAAAATAAGAGAATTAATTTAATGTTAAAATATTAAATATTACTTACGGATACGGTTGATAATGATGGTGATGATGATGACCACCAGATGATCGATGCTGTTGTTGTTGTTGTTGTTGCTGTAATACATTCTCTTGTGAACGATAACTTGTTCGTGCATTTTCATCATTAATTCCTTCATGTCTCGAACGTTTTCGTTCATGATGATGATATGATTGTGAGGATTGAGAAGTAGGCGTACTAACAGCTGATGATCGTTGTCGTTTCGTATGATTATTATTACGAGATGATTGTTGTATTGTTCCATTATTATCTTCTGATTCATCATCAAACCAAGGTGGATGTCGAGTAAATGCAGCAGCAGATGGGTTTTCTAAACGATAATGTCTATGATGTGGAGCAGTAGCAGTTGTTGCTGCTGCAGCCTAATTTAGATTAATTGAAAAAATAAATAAAAAAAAAAAAAGAAGAAAAAAAGATTTATCTTTTACCGTTACAAGACTTAAAGGTAATGAAGGTCTTGGTTGTTCTCGTTCGTTCGATTGCAAATAATGGAAATGATATGGTGATGGATGTGATTCATTTAAATGATGAACAGTTTGATTGTTATTATTATTATTAGTCGTTTCTTGATTGGATGTAAGTAATGGAGATTCATGTGTATGTTGATGAGATGGATATTGAAAATAGGAAACATTATTTTGTATTGAATGAGAAGAAGATTCAGAAGATGTAGGTTGTTGATGTATACAAGATAATGGATCTGTTAATTGCCAAGATGAACTATCCGGTGGTGCATCATTAGTTTGTGATGTTGGATAAGAAACAAAGTCACACATTTGAAGTGATACACGACGACGAGGTGGTATAAATGGACGGTTCGAATATTGACGAGACATGAAAATCTGGATACGAAAAAATATAAAAAAAACAAATAACCTACACAACCTTCCCGATTGCCGTGTTCGATTTAACCAAAAAAAAAAAGAAGAAGAAAAGCAATGGAGGAAGATTAAAGAATGCAGCAATGCAATGCACGTGGTATCCATGATTTAGAGTTCAATGACGATATGATCCAATCATTTTCAAGCAGTAATGTGTCATGACAATGTAAACTGGTGACCTCTAATGATTTTTTTTTTAAATGCCATTCTTTAATCATTCAACAAAAAAATGTATTATTTCAACGCCTAAATCTGATATTTTTCTTTTGTGTATATCAAATCAAATAGTAGAGCGTTAAGTTTCTTTTGAATTTAACACTCTTGATTCTATATAAATATCTTATCATAAAGAATATTTCAAATAATAATCTCATTCTTCTGTCAATTATTTTATTTAAATATAAGCAAGGATGGACAATCATAATTGAAAAAGAACTATGATCAATGTCATTCAAAAAGTATGATTTCTGGTTGTGATAGTCGTTCTTCACGTGAATTATCACTTTCCTGATTTGATACCATTAAACAATTTTTATCTGTTTGACATGATTCTAAAACATAAACATACTATTGTTTGAATTTTTTTTCTTTTAAAAAGTAAATTGCCTACCTGTACCACAGCATACTCCATTAGCAGCACATCGACCATTTGGTACAGCTGAACAGATTGAAGTCTTAATATCACATGGTATGATATTACGGTTTTCCATTGAACATTGACGAGTATCAGATGGATGTCCAATACGACAAGCTGAGCCAGTACAACAAATCGATGGACCAAAACATTGACCATTTAGTCCACAGCGTGGACACTAAATTTAAGAGAATTCAAAAATAATAAGTCTTTCAAGAAAAAAAACTTTATTGATTTCTAACTTGATGCATATGTAAATTATTGCCAAACCGTAAACTTCTTTTGCCACCAATAGGACAATTCGTTATATAGCATGCGTAGTTTAAATGTATAATAGCAAAAATCAGAATGAATGAAATAAATTGATGCATTAGATAAGAAATACTAGAATTAGGTAAAGACAATCAGGAAAATATAAGTAATAGATTAAAAAATTGATCTATACGTTAAGTACGTATATAATTAGTATATTTATTCAAGTATTTCTTGCTTTGTTCGTGCAATAATCATCTACAAGACCTACCGTATTACTATCTATTGAATGAAACTTTGCATAATTACATGTAAGAAAAAATTTTTATTGAAGAATAGAAAAAACAGTGAGTACGACAAACTGAATCTGAAAATATATAGAACTGCGCATTGTATTTAAAAGAAATGTAGAAATAGTCGGTAATGAAGAAAATGTTATAGGTGTTTTAATTGAACAAATGAGAAAGAAAAATCATGAGAAGTAATATTATTATCACATAACATGCATGACTTGACGTATAAAATAATGCAGTCTACTTGTAAATAAAATTAACACGTTTTAAAATAAGAAATATAGTACGTCCTAAAAGTTTTTTTCTGAAAGGTTTTTCGTTTCATTTCACTATTGACTGAACTTCAATTTTCTGAAATTGAAACTGAGATTCTGTAAAAAGATCGTTTCAGTATTGGACAATTTAAAGATTCGAATCACTCAACAACTCGAAGTTATTAAACAAGAAATGCTATGTAATGCTTTTCTAGAAAAAGAAGGCAGACTAAATTTTTGTATTTTAGCTAAATGTCTTAACTTTCAGTAATGCTTTTGAAGTTTGTTTTTAGAAATAAAAACTCTGTGCATTTATCTATTATTCAAAAAAAGAAATCCATAGTCAATGAAGTCCAGTCAATAGTGAAATGAAATGAAAAAACTTTTAGGAAGAGACTTTTAGGACATACTGTATAATCTAAAATATTCTTCAAACATATGCAAAAGAATGCTTTTATGATACGAGAGAATTAAAAGTAGAGCAAGATCTATATCCTATTTAATTTAAGCAAACTTTTTTCTGCCTTGCAGCATATGTATACATTTAAATTACTGGCAATTTTTGCTTTACTACTTTATCTTGTCGGTTCTTTTTAGTTTGTGTATGCTTTTGACATTCATTTTCTTTTAAATCATTTTCAATCAAACATAAAAACTTAATCTACTATCATGCAAGTTATTTTAAATATTTGCCATAAGTGCGTATAAATGTGAGTCGATAGTACATGCAAAGAAATGTTGTTGAAAACACAACTTTTTTTTTAAGCGTTGAAATATCTAGGACTCTTATGCGTGTTGATACTTGCATGTAATACATTTGCATTTTCACGCAAAACGTTACTTGCATATGAATGTGAAAGCGTATTTTTTTTTGCATGTATTTGCTAGATGACCAGAAAGTCATGAAATTCTGCATGCCAATATAAAAGAATTATATTTATAAATATTTTTACTAAACCGATTCTTCGTTGATATGAAAAGTTTTGTTATCTTTTTAATGTTCATGTTACTATAAATAAGAACTTAGTTTTTTGTTCGACGTGTGTTTATTTATTTTTCATTAAAAAAATGAATTTGTTCTTTGCTAATTATATCATATAGCTTGAAAAAAAAATTATTCTTTATTTCAAATTTTTTTATCATCCGTGCACACCTATGGTGTCATAATTATTAAATGCTCATGATATTCTCGAGTTTTGATTGCATTTCTTATAAAATTAAGTACTCAAATAATGAAAAACTTTATTCTATGAAATAAAGTATATAAGTTTGAATCATATATATCAGATGAGGATTTCTGCGTCGTATTCATGTGTGAAATTCAATGTGTGTAAAGGCCACTATAGTAAAGTAAGTGTTGTGTCGTCAAGTATGTTATGGAAGAGCGATTTGTGCCTTTATATACAGTATTTTCTTGCAGTCTTCATAAAACTAAAACAACTAGGTTATTAAGCAAACTAAGTAATCCGATTGTATTTCAATTTTTTTATCAAAGCTGATCGAAAATTCAAAAATAATAAATACATTATGGACACACTAAAAATATGATGGAATCTACCTAGTTGATCTCTCTTATAAAGGTGCACATAGAAATATCTTGAAGCACAAAATTGATCTGATGTTTTGAAAAATCTTCTCCGAAAATGAATTTGTCATATTTTAGTTTTGTTTTTGTTCTTAGTAAAAATTTTTCTTATGTGTCTATGAAAATTATCTACAAATTGGTTTATTTTGTAACTGATTAGAAGAAAATGTCAATGTTCACTTTTCATTATTATTTTTGGTGAATATAAATTTGAAATCACAGATATTTATTAATAAACTTCTTTGAATGTATTCTTGTTATTCATGTATTACAATCAATAAGAATACATCTAAAAAACCATTAAAATCTACATAATTCGAAACATTTTCGTCACACACACACACACACACAAGAAATTAAAAGTAATATTAAAAATATTCTGACCATCAGTAATGCACAAATAAATATTCATTATCATAAAACAAAAAAAAATATTGTTGACTATTAGTCATACCAAAAAAAATTCAATCGTCATTAATCTCTTCATACTGTTGATTTTCTATTGTCATTGTATTTTCACCAAGTAATTGACATAGTTCATTTAAACGTTGTTGAATTTGTGGAATACCAGCTAATTGTGCTTCAAGTCGTTCTTTTTCACCTTTCAATGTCAAACGTTTTTCTGTATTCAATATTTCAAATGTCCATCGACCATCACCATCGAATTGAAGTAAATGTGTATGATACGCCCTTTAATATTTAAGAAATAAAATTTAGAAAACATTTTTAAAAAAAATAATTATCAAAAATTTACTAACCAAAGAGATGGTCGATGTGTAATAGTAAGTAATGATATACCTAAAGCTTTTGCTCGTTCATATATTTTACCTTCAACATCAATTGATACTGCACTTGTACATTCATCAAGTAAAGCATATTTAGGTTGATGATAAAAAATTCGAGCTAAACCAAGACGTTGTTTTTCACCACCAGATAATATATCTTTCCAATCACGTTCAGCATTTAAACCACCTTCACGTTGTACAATATATTGTAATTCAACATTATCAAGAATTTTCATTAGTTTACTATCATCAACAAATGCTTGATCAATTGTATCAGGATAAATAATTTGATCACGTAATGTACCTGGACACATATAAGGTCTTTGTGGAATAAGAAAAAAATTTGATGGATCTGGTCGATGAAGACGACCCGAATAAATAGGCCATAAACCGCGAACAATCCGAAAAAATGATGATTTACCACAACCATTTGGTCCACTGATAAGAACATGCATACCTGGTGTGATCTGAGAAAAACATTGAGAGAAGTAGTTTTTATTGTATTCAGCGAAGAATTTTACCTTTAAGGAAAGACTTTTAACAATGACATCCCCATTTGGTGTGATGATTGGTACATTTTCGGCGATAATATCTCCTTCAGATTCAATGATTTGACCCTCTATTAAAACAAAGAAAAGCAAAAAAGAAAAAGAAATTTTTCTTTTTTTTACAATTCCTCTTTTGAGTAACCTGCTCGTTGATTTACTGCCACTTTTCTTTTTACACTTGTTAATGAATGTTCATTATGACTTTCATCCATTGTCACCGAAGCTCGTTGGTAATGTTCATGAGCACATTCATCAAAAACATGAAGCATTGTATAAACTCGATTTGTATGTCCTGCCAATTCAGCAATCTTTAATTAATAAAGAAAAATCGAAGAATATTCTCATTTATTTATAATTATTCTCTAATAAATTAGTCTTACTTCTTTATATGATGAAATAATACGTTCAAGTGCATCAGCACCGGATGTTAATAAATGTTTACTGACAGTAAAAGCTTCTGTACGTGTACTAATACCTAGTGGATCTCCTACTGGATCTAATAATAACACATATTATTAAGAATTAATAATAATAATAATAATATTGATTCTATTTACCATCTGTTTCTGGTGGTCCATCATATGTAAGAAAAGGTATAGCAATGAATATCATTCCACCTAAATATTAAAAAAAAAATATATATATATTATTTATGAAAACATTTTTTTCATGTAGACATACATGCATGCCAAAAATATTTCATTAAAAATTGTTCAAGCATAATAAACCAAAATTTTTTTTTAATAATTAAACTTGTTTGTTCACGTAATTGATCGTATAATTTTAATATCCAATTTCTCTCAACCTATTTTTTTTTTGAATTTGAAATTATTTCTATATGAAAAGAAAATTATGTGGCATACTTCATGACCATCAAAAAAAGCTATTTCTTCAGCATTAGCAATAACTCTTGTATGAGCAAAACGAAGTATACCTCGTCTTCTAGCTTCTTCAGAAACGAGTTTACCAAAATTAGGTGATAATTTTCGAACGGCCATGAATGTAAACGAAACAACTATAAACAACAGAGCAGGAACTTCTGAAATCATAGAAAAGAAAAACTAATTAAAATATTACGATAAATTTATTTTTGTAATTACCTTTAAGACCTCGTGCTGTTTTTCTTAGTCGCATCATTGAAATAAGTGACCATGAAACAATGGCTACATCAAAAAATGGTTTTGTTAAATGAGAAAAAAGATGAGTTAATGTTGATGTAAATGTTTCAATATCATCTGTTAGATTTTGATCTGGTGTCAGTAATCGAGTATCCAAATTTGTGACTCGATAATAGGTTTGATTCTAGAATTGATTAAATCCTTAATAGACAAAAAAAAAATGATAGAAGATATAAAACTTACACGAAAATAAGCTTCATATGCATGACGACTTAATTTTGTACGAAATGCTAATGCAAGTTTTGATTCTGCAAAACGGATTGCACTATTTATAAAACTAGCTGGAATGGCAACAGCTATAAAAATACTAATTGTACGAAGAAAATCACGTGGATTTCTCTGTACTAATGATTTTACAATAGCACCATCAAGGTGTGCTATATAAATTGAAAGAAACGTTCGTGTTATAAGTGTTGTTAAATGAATAATTAATAGAAAGAATGAATCACTTCGTAAACGTGGTATAAGAATTCGAACAATTACTTGAAGTTGATGAAAAAATTGTTTATTAATTGTTTTTTTGATTGATAATGGTGGAATGACATTAGTAGAACTTTCTTTTCGTGAAATTGTAAGAGATTGGCGTTTTTTCAATATAAGATATCGACGATAGCGACGAATAAGATAAGCTATTAGAGCAAATGATGATGAAAGCAGAAGAATTTTTAGTCGACGAGAACGTATTGGATTCATTTATTCAACTAAATAATATAATATATGATTTTAAGTTCGTTCTCGAACTTTTTGATAAGAGAAACAAAAGTTCTTCAGTTGTTTGCCAATTCATTTTTGGTTGTCAGTCATTCATCTGTTAAGGAATCTGTTAATGGATACAACATAACCAACAGTGAGTACTCGTTAGATGTCATTCTAGACAGGAAATAGTAGCAATAAAACAAAATAAATGCAGTTACTATATTCTATTGAGAATTAAAAAATGATTTCAACAAAAAGATTCAAAACGATATTGACAAATAATCCTATTGACAAACTTTCGATAATCTGTGAATTACACTATTTCATGTTTCTATTTCTAATACTTTTAGATATTTATGTTAAATGTATAATTTTATTTTAAGAAATTATTTCGACAATGAATCAATCATTTGATCAACAGGTTCATAATTACTAATTTGTTGATATTCACTAATAATATCATTTAGACTGTTTTCAGCTAAATGAAAAAAAAATTCAAATATAAATCTAAAAATATACATAGAAAATTGAATTTATTTACCATCAGTAAATTCAATTTCATCCATTCTATAAATAAAATAAAAAAGAAATCAATTTAATTTTTTATTAAATAGATTTACCCTTCAGCTGTATACCAGTGTATAAATGCTTTTCGTTTATACATAGCACAAAATTGTTGACAAATTTTTTTAAACAATTGTTCAATAGCTGTATTATTTGCTATTACAGAAAAAAAAGAAATTTAAAAAGAAGCTTTTTCATTTGTTTTTATTAAGTTAATCAATTTACCAAGAAAAGTACAAGACATTCGACATCCTTTTGGTGGAATATCACATACAGCTGTTTTAACATTATTTGGAATCCATTCAATAAAATATTGTGCATTACGATTTTGTACATGTAACATTTGTTCATCAATTTCACGCATTGATAAACGACCACGAAAGACAAGTGCTTAATGAATTTAACGAATTTGAATTTAAACATAACAATAAATAATATTCTTACCAACAGTAAGATACCGCCCTTGTCTTGGATCAACAGCGCACATTATATTTCGAGGATTAAATACTTGGTGAACTAATTCAAGTACAGACATTGCTCGATATGTTTGACCACTTCGTGATGTTAATGGTGCAAAAGATGGCATAAAAAAATGTAAACGTGGAAATGGAACCATATTAACAGCTAATTTTCTTAAATCAGCATTTAATTGACCTTAAATATTCAAAAGAAATTATTTAATATCAATTATAGATGACTAACCAGGAAAACGAAGACATGTTGTAAGACCTGACATAGTAATAGCAATAAGATGGTTAACTAGAACATAAATAAACTTAAGAATAGAACTATATATATATACATTATATTTGATTTACATACGATCAGTCATTGTAGGAAAAGAAATTTTAAGTGATCGAGTACAAATATCATAAAGAGCTTCATTATCAAAACATATGAGCATATCAGTTGAATCAATATGATGTTGAACAGCAAGCAAAGCATTGTATGGTTCAACAATAGATTCAGATACTTGAGGTGATGGAAAAACGCTATAACCAACCATCATTCCTTAAATGCAAAAAAAAAATTTCGTTTTTCTTTTTCAATTGTTTGTATGAGAACTAAAAAAAACATACGATCAGGATATTCCTCACGTAGACGATTTAATACGAGTGAACCAAGTCCAGAACCGGATCCACCACCAATACTTTGCATTATTTGAAAACCTGATTAAATAAAAGAAAAAAAAGAACATATTTCGGATAGTAATGAAGTATTATCATTATTACCTTGTAGACAATCGGTATTTTCTACTTCTCGACGAACAGTATCTAACATATAATCAATAATTTCAGCTCCTTCACCATAATAACCTAAGTAAAACAAATATTTATTAGCAGATTTAATTCTTGTTACATCTTATACACCTTTAGCCCAGTTATTGCCTGCACCAGATGTACCAAATACAAAATTATCTGGTCGAAACATTTGACCATAGGGTGAAGCTCTTATACTATCGATTGTACCTATTTCAAGATCACACAAAATTGCTCGTGGAACATATTTACCACCTAAAAAAGTCATCATTCTTCATCATATAAGATGAACAATATACAATTTTCATTACCCGTTGCCTCTGTAAAGTAGACATTGATTCGTTCAAGTTGCAAATCTGAATCACCACTATAGATACCAAGAGGAGAAAGGCCATGCTCATTAGCAACAACTTCCCAAAACTAGAATATAATGAAAATATTTAATTGTATCATCTGTTCGTGTTTTTTTTTTACTTTTCCTGCAATCTGGTTACCACATTGCCCAATAGAGATATTCACAATTTCACGCATACTTTATTCCATCGATTGATATTCCTTATTTTTGATTATTCAGTTTAAAATGATAATGTAACAATGTTAAACTATGCCTACACTTATACATATATATACACGTGGTTGCTTAAAGAAATTAGACAGACAAAAAAAAGAGCAAACCCATGTGCTTGAAGGAAAGACACAAAAAACATATCAACATAATACTAACCAACAGATCTAAGTTATAATTTCTGTTTCAGTACTATGCAAAAGATAAATTTGCGTAATGATGTATTTATCTTATTTAGTTAAAATAGAGGAAATTATGTTTTACAAAAACGTTTCACTATTTTTGTATTCAATACACGACGCTTTATCATATTCTATGTATTTTTTAATCAACGGATTAAGTAAGACAGTAGATCATTTCGCATAACTCGACATCAGCCAAAATATCAATGTTAGCAGTGTATTTAATTTCCTTTAAACTCATGGAAGGTATTCAGAATACAATTAAATTTGATTCAAAAAATATGAATGATTGGATTCGACAAATAGTTGATAGATATCAATGGAGTTTCTCAACAGCCTAAAATACGTTCAAAATAATAGTTTACTTCAAACATTATTGTACAGAAAGATCACAATATCTTTATGTGCAACTGATAAAAATACAATCATAATGTAAGGATGAATGAAATGACGAAAAAAAAATGTTTTATTATTCTAGGACGATCATTTCGACTGTCAAAAACGGTTATAAATAAAACTCCATAGTAATGCACTTACTTTCATGGTATTTCGCTGTAATTTGTCATTCCGTTTTCTAGGTTGTTTTCCTCGCTAGCAAACTGCCATAGTTTCTTTCATTATTTTCACCATTGAATAGGATGATGGAAAGCGGTGACGTAACAGCACCAAATGTTTGCCATTTAATACAGTTTGCAGTATCATTTTTATAAAACTGGATATTTTATAATCTATTCGAAGTGCTTATGTTGCATTAGTATTTGCACTAACAACATTGCCATCAGTTATATGAGTCTCCTTCTGAACTTTCTAAATGTGTCAAGTAGTGATTGTAAAGAAAATACCGTACACCTATCATCTTTTTCTTCAAAATCTTCTACTTGCAAAGAAAATACACTATAGAAAATAGAAGACAATATTCTAGACAAGTTCATGAATTCAACAATAGATTTTTGCTTTGCCGACAATAGGACATTCAAAAAAATTCAAGCTTTGATTTTCCAATTAGAAATTTATTGTCACATTCAAATTGAACTTTTTCAAAATATGAAACTTGATTTCAAAATCTGAATATTCTCTAGAAAACACAATAGCTCCGATAAAAACTTTCGTTTTCAGCACAGTTTATTCTTTATATCTAATTAAATAATTCATAACATTAATTCTGTTTATGAGCCAAAATAATATATACGTGCTAAAGAAAAAGTTAAACACTATTTCAGATATCGAACTTTAAAATTATCAAATCGTAAGCATATAACGAAAAACGACTGTGATTTAAAACAAAAGTAACACTATAATTATTAGGGGATTTGTCTTATGTACGTATATTAAAACATGCAAAAAACAATCTAGCGGATATGTAGTTTTACAAAGTGAATACTTTTTCTAGATGAAAAGTTCCAAAACGACCAATTCAGTTTTTCATGGAAGAAAAATATATGAACGAGAGCATGTCGTTCACAAAAAAAAGGAAAATGACAAATGTCGAATATATTTTCAACAAAAAAGTTATATTGACGATCTCTAATCAAAAATAAGAAAAGAATCTATTCCTTGCTTGCGTTATTATAAGATAGGCGAGAACGCCCGAACTATATGATATAAATACAGTTTGTATATTTGCTATAGCCGCCAAAGAAACACCAATGCTAAACAAAGTTTACTTCTATTTTTTGTTGCAAAATTAATATGAATTGTCTATTTTTCTGAAAACCAATTCTAGAGAAAATAAAATCGAATTTTCATATTTTAGAAAATAATCAATTTTCTCTAAATTTCAAATGCACTTAGTAATTTATAAAAACTTTTAAATCACTTTAACTATTTCTATCTCAATTTACTATAAAGTAGGAATTGATTTATAGTTTACAATACACTCAACGTTGATTTCGCAATGTATTGTCCTTCCTTCTGACTGATAACTCGATTATTAATAACATTGTTATTATTTCAATTCAGTCTTCCGATCTTCCTCTCACAAAAAGGAAAGAATACTGAATGCCTCCCTCGTCTCAAACACGAACAGTCCACTTTTGCATATTTCAACATACTGAGTCTGTATCAAAGAGAGGAGAGAAGAGAAGCGAATAAGAAAGAGATATAAAAATACGTAATGAATACCGAAAAAAAAAAGAAACAGTGAGCAGAATCAAAATAGCAAGCCAAAACGTATCATCCTCAACAATCATGATATCTGTCTATATATACCATACAACTTCAAAGAATATTCAGTAGAAACAAGACTGAACTCAATTAGCTCAAAAGTAAAATGTAGTACAAGAATATGAAGATGATAAAATTGACTAATGTTTAGTACATAATATGAAAATAGCGTTTGCAAGATGTTGTGTCATTACTTAGTTTTATTCTGTATAAAAATAAACACACTAACTTTTTTTGATATAGTATACGATCAAATAATAATAG